TATTTCAATATGAAGGGCCTGTCCTGGGGTAAAGAAAACTACAGTTCATATAAGTTAGATGAAATGAACGAGTGAAATCATCATGAGGATGATTCATCATTAAATCATTTCACCTGAATCACTGGAGCTTTAAGGGAAAACGTAATAAGAAACCAAAACAAGAATAGAAAAGAATCCAGAACAAATAAAAAACATCTGGACGATTTATGAATTGAATATTTCATTTCAGTTATTTTATCTACGTGTCACGATAGTTTGAAGCCGACAGGTCAAAGGTCAAGTTCAACAAAAGTTAATTTTCTCTGAACAGAAGAAATTTAAAGCAGATACTGATCAGAAAATGATGACATCACATGACTAGTGACGTCATGATGATGTCACAGAAAGTAAGTTGAATGTAATGAAGTCATGAAGAAAACTCGTTACCGTCCGTTCTTGGTGACGATCATCTCGTTGGTGATGTGCTGGAACTTCCTCCACAGCTCGCCGTCCTCCAGCGCCACCCTCAGCTCCCTCTCCGTCGGGTCGCCCTTCTCCCGCCCGGCCTGCAGCTCGCTCTCCACCGCGCTCAGCAGCCGTGACATGCAGCGCTGGGCCGAGTCCGGGCTGCCGCCGCCGGGCCGGTCTGCAGACGCAGAGGCCGACTCGCTGTCCCTCTGTAAACCTTCCACCTTCATCTGGAGACACACGGACAACGTGAACTACTGGAATCGTCCTCGAGTCACATGACGTGAGACGCTGTCACAGATTTGAATTTCTGACTTTTGATCAAAGTTTGGTCTCAACAACGTGAAGACGTTCACAGGCCAGGTGGGGGCAGTAGAGCTCCGGGCTGTTTGTCTGAACGTTAGGCAGCAGAGGTCCAGGTCGTTTCTGATGAAGAGAAAACATGGCCGACACAAACACACTGCTCTTCTTCATCTTAACTTATTGGATTGATTTTTCATCTTCCAGGAAACAACTCTTTCTCTGTTGAGACGGATGTTTTCCCTCAGGATCCGTCCCCGAGTCGCAGGAAGAAAAGGTTTCACTTTAAAACTCATAATAAAATCCTTTGAATAAACTTTATTTCTGTTTCACCACAGAACAAAAGATTGTTTCTGCTCCGTTGAATCAGTTTCACGTTTTCACGTCCGATGAAAAAACAAATGTTATGTATTTACT